TGGCATGAACTTTTGACACACTGAAACTATGGAATCTTCAGTAGCAAGCTTAATTTTGAAGAATCCAAAAATATGTTGCCCCTTCCTCCCACCAAAAAAAGGAAAAATCAAAAAAACCCCAGTTCCGAAGAATCAAAAAATAGGTTTTTTTCCGAACTCCCATTCGGTAAAAAAAAAGAAATCCAAAAAAATCTTTTGTATTCGTTCACTATGAAAAACGAGGGCATCTGAGAAGTAGTCTGAGTGGTAGCAAACCTCTGGCATATATTTGGACTGGACTGCGCAAGAGTGGCAAAACCCCACCGGCGCAGTTCAGTTCTCTTATATAGGAACGGTGCCACTTCCCAATTTGTCATTCGCGCTGGCAAAGCTTTTAAAATTGAAGCTAAATAAGAGGTAGAAGAGAGGGATTGAAAAAAAAGCTATTCACAGGAATAACAGAGCCTTTCACAAAGGATCACTGGAGGTCCCGGCGGCTCTAGAAGACGATGCTTTTCAAACAAAGGCCTGGAAGACCTCTCGAAACTAATTCCATATACTGAAAATTAAAATGTGAATGAAAACACTTCCATGTAAATGAATTGAGTAGGCAGGTAAGGTTACTCCCAGCAACAGGAAAAGAGCACAGTGACTTGTTTTTTGAAAAAAAATTTGAAAAAAAATTTTTTTCAAAAACTTGATTTTTTTTTGATTTTTCGGAAATTTTTTCGACAAAAAAACGAAAATTTTTCGAAAAGATTTTGAAATTTTGGAAAAATTTTCCGAAAAAAATTTGGAAAATTCGAAAAATTTTCCGAAAAAAATTTGGAAAATTCGAAAAAAAGATTATAAATCATAATTAACCAGGAAAAATTTACTTCCTTCAACTCCCCCTTTGACCGTTTCATCCAAGATTTGTTGTCGCGCAACTCATTGCATCGTTCTCGCATAAGCATAGCACTGCCAAGCGCCAAGACAGATTTGTTGATGCACAGCTGCTGCCTTGATCCCAGAGTTACCATCCTAGGCCGAAATCTGCAAATTTCTCTTGAGCCCATCAAAATTCATAAGATTCAGTAAGCCATCATAAATTGTAAATTTTTTACGTGATAATTCGCTATTTAACATCTTGTGATAATACACTAAATCAACCCCACCTCAGCTTTTCCATAGTTTTTTTCTTTTTTATCAGTTCAAACTTATTAATCAAATTTTCCTTTTTATCAGTTCAAATTTTCCAAATTTATTATACAAAATTTTCTTTTTTTATTAAATTTATCAATTTTTATCAAAAACACCAGTTATTAAATCAATTATCAAACCAACCACTTTTCTTTTTTTCCCTTTTTTTTCTTTTTCACTTTTTTTCTTTTTTTTTTTCTTTAAAACCTCCGTATTGGAAAAGAACTGAAGAAAACAAGCTGCGAATTTTTCCTCCGACTAGTCTGTTTTTTAAGGGAAAAAACGCTGCAAATTGACCTTGTTTTCGAAATTTCTGCTGAGAACTGCTGCAGCTGGGAATGTGTTCGTGTAGCATAAATGATCTTGGTACATTGTGGATCCGTTTGTCTGTATTTGAGTACAAGAGCAGCAGCTACTGTTTCATCATCACTGGGGTAATCCTCGTCCAAAATCTGGGAAAAAAAAAACGAAAAGTACTCGAAGCTGCTGATTTTTGCCACAGTCACGCCTATTGGAGGATCCAGGAGTAAGGGGGAGGCGAGGGCCCTATCACCCCTCCCCCTAGGAGCTTAGGTAGCAGTTGTTTTACTATACAAAAGTCTGCTCGGCACCCTCTGCCGCTTCCTCCTTCCTAGCCCCCCAGGAGACCGACCTGGATCCGCCTATGATCATGCCTCAACGCTGTTGAAGAAGTAAACGATCATTTGGGCTGCCTGGAAAAAAGTGACACTTGTAATTTGAAACGGATCCACGAAGCTCAGGAGCCCAAAGCCTTTTTTTTTACTGCGAAAGCACTCCATTCTGTAACATTGCGTGCTCGGGATTATCGTTTTCCTCGTTTTTTTTTTGGTTTTCTTTGTTTTTGCTTTTTATGCGTTTTTGCCGTGCAGCGCTAGAGCGCTGCAACAGGCAGCAAAAACGCAT